CAAAATTGATTTAGACTGTTAAAACATAAAAATATTTGAAACGAAATAAATTTTTTAAATTATATTACAATTTTTTTACAATTAACTTTATCTTATTTTTATTTAATTGTATTATTTTATCTTAAAATAAAATACACAAACATTTTATCTTTAAAAACACAAATATTTTAATTAAAATGATTAAAAAATAATGATTTTAGTTTAAAAAATACAAGTATTATTTTTAGAATGCAAATATTCTTCTAAAAAAATACATTATTTTAAAGAATTCAAATATTCTTTTTAAAAAATACTATTATTCATAAAAATACGAACATTTTAATTAAAGATACAATTATTTTACGTTTAAAAATACAAGTAGTATCATTATAAATACAATTATTTTTTTACAAAATAGATATATTTTAAAAAATATAATTATTTTATATTTAGAAAACCATTGTTATCTAAAGCACACATATTCTTTTAAAAAAATACAATTATCGTTTTTAAAAACAAATATTCTTTTTATAAAATACGATTATATTAATAAAAAAATTATTCTTTTAAATTAAATATAAATATAATAAGGTTAGGAAGAATGGAACTACCACTCATACTTGTATTTGTTTAAATACATTTAAATTTAACACAACCTCCTTTTTACAAATACTCCAACACTTTCCTATTGAATTTATTTTATTTGAATGATTTATATTCGATTTAAATTCAATAGACGTTTTTCTCTTAAACAATGTTCTCATAATCAACGTTTATGACAAAAGTGAAAAGAGATGTTCATAAAAGGATTTTTTCACGATTCTCCCCGACCCGAACCCCGCCCCGAAAAAAAGTGAAAACCCCGTTCCCCGGCCCAAAAAGTTTCGGGGTTATCGGGGTTTTATACCCCTAAAAAATGTCATTTTTTGAAGAAATTAATGAAGAAAATTCAAAAAATTTCCACCCATTTTACTTTTTTTTTATTATTTTTGAAGAAAAATGAATGAAATATCATAATTTTCTTTCCTTTTTTATTAAGAGACTTGTGGTTGAGTGGCTTAGTCGTGGTTTTAGCCGATATTTCATTAATATAGGATTGGGTCCGGATCCATATAAGGAGAACTCGATTTTTTTATATTTTTTTACAAAAAAAATATAAAACGAGTTAAATTTATTAACGAGTTAAATTTTAATTTGAAAATATTAATTTTATTTTTAACTGAATCCCTTGAACCACCCTTAATCCTTCAAACCCCCTGTATCACCAATTCTCAACCATAACAGTTGGAAAACTATCGAGGTCCTGTTAACGGGAATCAGAGATATAAAGGGATTTGTAGGATTCGAAGAATTAAGGGATTTAAGGAGTTATAAAGGGATTTAAGGAGTTATAAAGGAGATACAAGGTTTAGATTAAAATGGATTTGAAAGGATTACGTGAATTTAATGGAATTAACAAGGATTTCGTGGGAGATTTAAGGATTAATCGAAGATATCTCCTGAGATCCGTCCAAATACCCTTATCCGCAATACATCAATATCCTTATAAATCACTATATCCCTTGAACAAACAAAAATCACTCCAGATCACCTTGTATCCCTAAATATACCATTTAATCCCTAAAAATCCTAATTAATCCCTCCATATCCACTTATATACCAAGTTATACACTTTAATCCCTTCAAATCCCCTCTAATTTCTTCAAATCCTACTTAATTTTTGAATAAATCAACGAAAATATATCGATTTCTAATTATTTTTTAGCATTTTTTTCTCTAAAAATTTTTCCACTAAACCCCCGTACCCCGACCCGAACCCCGGCCATATTTTGCTCCCCCGACCCGAACCCCGCCCCGAAACAATTGGAAAACCCCGTACCCCGACATACCCGCCCCCGAGCGTTCGGGGTACAACCCTACTGGATACCCGAAATTTTCGGTTCGGATATCGGTTCCGGTTCCAGATATCCGGAGACATTTAAACGCGTCAAAAAACATTTTTTATGACAAAGTTTACTTTGTCATAACTTTGCACAAACTCGTCCAATCTTACTAATTTTGGTACCAATCGACTTATCTCAATCGGGTTGGCCGATACCAGTATCGTTTTGCCCAACTCTACTTTTATCAAAAAATTCTACTCAACCTTTGAAGGAAAATTATGCAAGCTAAATTAGAAAATTTAAAACAAATTTTAGTATCAAAAATTTTCTTAGAAAAAAAAAGCTGCCGCACCCGCAAAAAGCTGCCGCACCCTATATTCATTTCTATAAACATATTTAAAATTATTTGTTTTATTTTCTATAATTAAAATAAATAATAAAAATGTCATCAACAACCAATTTAACATTACCAACAACAGTTATGAATTTAAATATATTATATGTTCTTTTTAAATTAGACTTTTGGTTAATTACAATATTTGGATATGCTGCTAATTTCTTATTAATATTCTTAATACTATATAAAACGCCGAAAGAAGTTAAACAACATAGTAGAATTCTCTTACAGAATTGTTTTTTGGATTTAATTTTATTAACTATACAATTATTTGGGCAATCAGTAAATTAATAAATTAATAATTATTTCCTTACATTTTATCCCCGTCCTTTTCCTTCTCCTGGGAAATGGGGGAGAGGGGGGGTATAAAAATGTAGGTATAGCACAAGTAGGCGACCGGCCAAGTAGAAGCAAAGCATATCTTGCTTAAAGATCTCTGAATCTTATCAAATTTAGTATTAAACGATTCCTCTCATCGAGCTAGAGAATTGAATCAAACTGATAAAGGCCAGAAATTTTCCCTATTTATGGCTTTGCGCCTAATTGGGGCTTGTCCCTAAAAATGTGGAAACATAAACAAAAGAATCTTTTGTGGAAGAAATGGAAGGATAAAAATTTCAGACCTTTGGCTTTTGCGCCGAGAACATTTGCGCTGCGACTCTTGAGCCGCGACTTTTGCGTCGCGACTTATGCGCCGAGCGACTTTTGCGCCGGGCGACTTTTGCGCCGCGACTTTTGCGCCGGACGACTTTTGCGCCGCCATTATCGTTAAAAATATATAACTTCAGCCGGACTCACTATAGTAGGGTTTTCGGATAGTTTAAAATCTTCGGATATGGGGCTGAAAATCATGCCGGAATAGGGTTAGCAGATCCAAATATCATGATCCGAAAAAGTCAGAACATCAGAAATCCTTTGGGATATCGGATGGGGGGATTTCCAATGCCCAGACCTAATTCACATTTATGGTCCAGACCTAATTCATTAGCTACCGGACCCCTATTGTACTAACTGAACTTCCTTCAGTTCATGGATACCATTTTTTAACCTCAATGGACACACTAAAGTGAGGTCCGATAGTATTCATTATTTTATTTTTTTTAAATTATGGCGGCGCAAATGTCGCGGCGCATAAGTCGCCCGGCGCAAAAGTCGCGGCGCAAGAGTCGCGGCGCAAAAGTCGCCCGGCGCAAAAGTCGCGGCGCATAAGTCGCGGCGCAAATGTTCTCGGCGCAAAAGTCGTGATACCGTTCAAACCTACGACCTCATCGTAGTTATTGCTAGGCGCTTTCGCTCTCTCAACACATAAAGAGATCTACCACTGAGCTATAGGGTATCGACTATTGCTTTTTCTTTTATCCATATTTAGATCGTTTAACCCCCGCCGAAGCGTTTTAAATGATATAGGTGAATCATTCTTACAATATTTGAAAGTTTTATATCTTTTATAAAGTTTTATACTAAAAAATGATACGGGCCTGTGCCGTTCTGCATTGGCATTTAACCTCATAAAAAATTTTAAGAATATACATATTTAGGAAAATTATCTTAAGTATGACATTTAATTAATATAAAAAAATAAATTATAAAGTCCGTTTTTTAGTTCAAATTGATAACAAAGATTATAATGGACTAAATTTATTAGAATCATTTGATAAATTAGAGCAGGAATTTAACAGAATACTAGAAGAAAAATTTATTAGCGTAAATAAAAATGATTTGGAAAATAAATTGCATAATTTGTTAAGAGAATTTGTAATGATTATTGAAGGATGGGTGATGATAAAAAGTGAGAATGAAGGAGAAATTAATAATAATGATATGATTCCTGTAAAAAGCATGCTACATAGACATAGGTTTTTGCATTTTTTTCTCTAATAGAACAAAATTATGTTAGTCGGATTCTTGGAAATCTTCGGATATCCGGATTAGGATAAGTTACCATCTGAGTATAAAATCCGGATATCCGTATCCGACAACCTTATTGCTAAGTCCAGTAGATTATCTAACCATCCTTTTTATCCTTCTTTTACTAATAGACCGCAAAGTATTATTAAAACATCTAAACAATTTTAAAATTAAGATTGGCCGGCTTAATTAATAACCGCGAATTGAATCAAATAAACAATATCTATCAAAAAGATAATTTGGTATTACTACTGGGTAATATTAGTGACCACGAATTTGAAGTATTTTTACAAAATTATAAATTAAAAATAAAACAAAAACTGCTGACATGTGAGTATATATTTATCGCATTTATTCGAAAAATTATCCATCATCAAATACATATGTAATAATAATCATCCTAATAGTTACCCAATCCGAAAGTCTAAAAATAATTTCATATAATTTCCTATTTATTTCCTATTTATTTCCTATCATATAATTTCCTATTTATTTTCAAAAAAATATAAATTATTCTAGATGAAAATTTTGAAATGGAATTTAAAATCTATGTAGAATTACCTTTTGATCAGAAAAATAATGCCGAAAATTCTGTAAGTTTATTTTAGAATACTCTAATTACTCGATAAATTACCTCAAATATTTGCTCTCCCTCGAATAATTACTACTTTTATATTAAACTAAGCAAAAAACCAACCCCGCAAAAAACCAACCCCGCAAAAAACCAACCCCGCGATTCCATAATTGTGCTTGCATATACCCCTGGCTTCGAACAATATCTGGTTTTTACTTCTCATTATTGTGCTTTTTTTGTTTTTATGCTTTAAAATTTTTCTAACATGACTCCAACTTCAACACTTGCTGTTTCAATTTCTCATGGCCCCAACAGTGTCTTTTTCTACATTCGCTTTTCCACATTCTTTTCCTCCTCTTCCCTCTCTACGGGCTTCCTTTTGTGTACGAATGCCAGTTACCTTTCCTTTCGCGATTTGATTCACATGTCCGTCTTCCTCTCCCATAGCCTCTTTCACCTCCACTCGATCCTTCATTATTATATATTTTACACTTGCAAGATGCACAGTTTCCTCTCTCCATTTTCTGGGTCTTCAAGGATTAAGTTCGATTTCAATTGCTTTGTAAAAGACTTGGAACTTGTGATCAAAATTCCCTACTTTATCTTCTTCTTAAAACGAAATCTCCTACCTTCCTCTCAACAATTTTTAGAATTTTCTGCTGATTTTTCATTCGCTCTACGTTCTCTTGCAATTTAATTCTCACTTTTTAATGTATATCCTGTATTTACTCTTTCATCTCCCTTGTGTATATACGCCGACAAATTAAAACACTCCTTTGTTTTTAAAACGTTACTTTAATCAAATGTGAATAGAATCAAGTTAGTAGAAATCAAGTGTGAATAGAAATGGGGAGGGGAAGGGGACAGGACCGCTCCTTAAAATAGTTAATGCCGAAGCGTCAAAATTTCCAACTTTATTCATTTTTGGATTTTTTTTGTTGATTGAGTCGTGTTCTGACGAAGCGTCAGTGGACAATCGGTCAATGAGATATATCGAAGGTTATAGAACAAACGTATCCACTGACCATACTCCACTGACGCATTGTCCGGAAGATGATTGAGTAGTAGGGTAAAGGAATAAAGGCAAAGAACTCAATAAAATCGTCTCATTGTGTGGTAGCTAATTATAACATATTTTAAATTCAAGTTTGTCCAAGTAATCAAAGAAAAGTTCCAAAATAACAATAAATCGGATTCATTCAATTCTGCTTTAAATTATTTAAAGTCAATTATTTCTGAATGGGCTAAAAATGTTTATAATTGTATAGACATTGAATTTCTGTTGAGTGGCTCGAAATTATTAAATACAGATATTGTTGAATCTGACGTTGATGGAATTGTTGTTTTAAATAAAAATAAAGACGATGGGTGTAAAATAAATGAATTAAATCAGTTTATTGGTAATGGAAACATTGATGAATGTAAAAATTTTGAAAAAGTTGAAGAATCAGAAATATCACTTTTTTGTTTATTATACAATGTAAATAAATTAAAATTTTTTATAGGCTAGAGACGACTGGGAGTGTCGTACAAGAATCAAGATCTCGATAAATCTCGATTCTCTATAACCGATATTTTACATCGAGATCTCGTTTCGGTTTCCCTCTTTATTAATAAAAGACTCAAATTCCAAGTCTCAAGACCAGGACTAGACCCAAGACCATGACCGAAAAAACCCTTGGAATCGAGACCAAGAATCTCGGATGTCTCTAGTGGCAGCTATAATTTTTCACCATCTCCATAAAGAACCTTATGAGTGGGGTCTATTTATGGGGTGAGAATTTCAACCATAACAAAAGGAAAGGTGAATTTAAACTTTTTTAATAATTAAATATTTAAATAAAATTAATTTATTTAGGAAGCTCCAATTCATCAGCTTCGTAAAACCATTCACACCCGCATTAAAATAATCGAATTTATTTTATTTAAAATTAAATTTGATATATCATTTGTTATATTAGATGATATAATACCAATAAAATTAAATAAATTAATTCAACAAGATAATTTTGAAATTGAAAAAATAATTGAAAAATTGGAAGAATTACAAAATTTAGAAATTAATTACAATAAAACTAAAGAAATACATGGGGAAATATTAACATTAGCTTCATATAATTCAAATAAAATTATTAAAAATATTATTGATAAAAGTGGGAATTTAAATAAATTCATATTTCTAACAAAAACTTTGAAATTGTGGGCTAAAAGTAAATTTTTGAAATAATTTTTAGTCATTTCATTTTTTGTTTTTTCAATTCTGCGTTTTGCGTTCTGCATTTAAATTTTTAGGTATTAGAGATGGGACGGGTTGACAAAAAAGTAAAATAACTTGTTACGGTTCTTATCCCATGCTGCTTTGTATATCAGCTGCCAAGGATGAGATCTGTTCCGCATTCCGTCTCCCCTTATTAAAACGTCGAAGCGTCCATTAGAATATCCTGATACGAAAACTGACTGGATAAGAAAGAGAAAGGACCGGATACGAAAAATATCCGAAAAATCCCCGGCAGGTCGGGTTGCTACCCCGATGGGTCAGGTTGCTACCTCCTACTTTATACATTAGATTGTCGTCCTACAAATTAATAATTATATTTAATTTAGGAAGATTAATCAAAAAAATTTCAGATCATTTTATTTATAATAATCAATTTGGTTTTCTAAATGGAGCAACTTTGAATTTGCTTATTCTTAAGATTGTTCTGCTATATTTTGATTCATCCCAAATTTATTTGTTACAAAAATTTTTTGAAACATTTAGTGAATGGTTATTAATTTTTTAAGTAAATAAAAAATTAAAATATTTAGGGATTGGAAATTTCCCGTAAAATTAGAAAAATTAACACAAAAATCGGAAAGTTGGTTTGAAGAATCAGAAATTAATTATAGAAAGAGCCAATATCTTTCAAAATATATTAATTATAGTAATGAAGAAAGAATTAGATTAGAAAAACATACTAATCCAACAATGGTTGTGTTAACACTTGGCTATCCAGAGCAGAATTGTTCTTACAATGTTAATTATTCTACGAGAAGAATAATTTTAAAAGAGTTTGAGAACGGTTATTTATTTTTAAAAAATATTAATTCAGTAGTTTAATAAGATTTCGCAAACTTATAGCAATCGGAATGAAAACAGCTTTTAAATAATTCACTCTCTACTAAGCCAATGTAACAATTAGAGAAGGAAAATTTTTCGGTTCGATTCTTCGGTTCGGTTTCGGATATCCGCATAATTTTCAGAAAATGACAACCCTAAATGAGGGTCTTCATTTTCTTACATAATTTAAAATAGTAACTAAGATCACTAGAAAAATCTTGGTTATCGAAATAGATATCTTTTGAGAAAACGACACCTTTCACGAACGATCCCCCACGTTTCTCTTAAATTCTCCCTGATTTTTTAAATTCTCATCAGCTGGATCTTATATTCTTTACTTTAAGTAAAGCATTCTATGTTTGAAGGACTTATCGTTAGAGTCAATAAATATAAAATAATGTAGTAGTTATATGTAGAAAATAATTTATATTTTAAATGCTAACTTTTAGGAAATAATATGGTTAAAATCATTAAAAATAATAATAAAGAAAATGAAGCAATTTTAAAAGCTTGGAATGATTGGTTAAATGGTACTAGTTTTATGACAAAGGTAAAAAATTAAATTAAAATTATTTTAAAAATAATAACTAAAAATTCAAGTATAAACATTTTTTGCTCATTTTATGTCTTGATGAAAATTTATTAAATAAAAGGGAAAATCTGTTTGACGAAAGCGAAAATTATTGTCGTTTTATTGAGAGTCGAATCCGTTTAGAATTAATTTTTACGGTTGAAGAAGATCAGGAACAAATAAAATATACTCATGCAACTAGTCATGAAAAATGTGTGCCAAAAGAGATTAAAGAAAAATATAGGTAAATTTTAGAAATAAGGTGTAGATAGGATTGAGAATTAAAAAAATTTCTCATTAACCCAGAGTATCCGCACATATAAACTCCATGAAAAATAACAGGTTATGCGAAACCCGGAATATTTTTCAACCTGAAACACGCCCAGTTTTTTCTCAACAATGGCATCGCCGGAGAGAGAAGTTCTTATAGTAATCATTGCACGATCAGCGGAATTAGTCGTAGCATGTAGATCACTCTGAAGAAGTGGGCGGTATTGACACATAATATATAATTATTCCATTCTTCATCCTCTTTTTCTCACCTAAAAGCTTCGGCTCTAGCCCAGAACTGAATCTGAGTTTAGATGGTTCCTTCTTGATTTCAATATTTAATTTTTAAAATTCTAGTGGACAATATATCCAACATTGGTGGGTTGGAATTGAAACAAATAAATTAATAAAACAAGTAGAATTTAATAAAAATGATGGAAATATTCTAAATAAATTTGTTCAAAATATTAACAACAAAACACCTTCTGTGTTATTAAATAAAAGTAGAAAAGTAGAAGTGATTTATTTGGAAGGAGATAGTAAAGAATTAAAAGAATGTTTAAATAAATAATTTAAATATATTTATCAAATTTTTAATTTAAAATTTTAATCATTATAGCCTCGAACGGCATCTGAGTTTCCTTGAGAGAACATGTCGGGTTTGGGAGGGAGAGTTCAGGTTGGGGTTTGTCAAACAAATCTGCGGCGTCCTTTTATTTAATTTTACTATTTATTCAATAATCCTTAAATAATTAATTTAGAATTTTAAATCATAAATATTTTGTAACTAAATTTATCGAGTCGGGCCACATATCCTAGGCCCCTACATATGTAATATTTCGGTCCTACTCGTAAGTATATAAGGATATGGACGAATTAGGATTTGAGGGGATATCATTAATATAAAAAGTTTTTTAGCTGATATTCATTCAAATCAAACAGGATTATCCCCACCTGATATTAGCAAACATGTGAACATTTTTCATTAAGCATTCCCCTCCTATAATTTCACCCCTCCCACCTTCCCCAATATATAGCCAAAAGGTTGAACAACAAATGATTAAGTTCAGACATGTTCTTCCGATTTAATCCTTTATTCCAATAATTTCACATATCCTCAATTTTAATTTCTACTACATATTCCATTTTTTCTGATGAACAATAAATTCATGTAATTTTTATATTTAATAAATGGTTTTTTAATCTAAATTATTTTTTCACCTATTAGTGAACTTTATTATGAGATATTTTTTCATCATTAAGTTTATCTTAAAAATTATCCTTTGTTCAATAATCGTATTTTACGTTGGATCTCAAAATTAAGGATTAAAATGGCAAGATAATATTTTAGAGATAGGATGTTGTTTATTCAAAAATCTTAGTGTATAATAATTCCTATACTAGTACAGTTATAATTCTATTTTTATCTTTGTTATACTTCGGTTAACTCTCGATTAAAAAATAAATATTTCAGCTCTGACTTTAAGAAGGCATATACTAAAGAATTTGGAAGGATTAAAGATACATGTAAAAATATAAATTTCATTTATGAAAATAAGTTAAATAGATACACTTAAAA